TAAAATTCTCAATCGGTTATGCCATGTCTCTCCGTCTGCGTTTGAATGTTGTTGATACTCTCCTAGTCGCAACAATAAAGATATCGACTTCATATTTGGTAGAAACATTGGCAGTTTTTGAGCGCAGGTGACTATTGAAAATGGACCAAATTATTCAGATCACACGCCTGGAGTGCATTTTTCTACACAAAAATTTGTGCGTTTCTGCTCACTACTCACAAATTCTAAAAGATGGAAGCTGAAATTTCCCGCATTTCCCACCGTAGGAAAAACTCTACTATTTATATGCAAAATTCGAGAACATCGCTGACGCTCATACAAAGTTGTAAGGGATTAAATTTTCGTTTTTTCACTTTCTCGACGTCGTAAGCTTATTATTCATAACATGAATAAGACAGAATGTTAAAAATTATTTTATACATTCCTCAAATGAAGATATATTATCTGACTAAAATAAATATCGTGGACGTGGTGGATTAATTTCTTCGATACATATGGTATTGGATGGTATTGGGGATGGATAAAGGGACTTGGACAATGCGACAAGTCTTAGTTGCAAATAAAACACGATGGACCACAAGCTACTGGACTGATATTTTCATCATAAGACCGTCGATGTGTATATTAAATGAAAGGTCCTAAAGAGAAAAATAGGCAAGCTAAGCATGTTAATTCTAAATTAATTATGGTGGACGTGACGACGTGGTACATTAATTTTTCCTTAATAGTTATTGTTCCATTTATTTGATGGCATTTTAACGGGTAACGGGTATGCGAGATTCAGTCCTGGCCAAATATAGCTCTCTTCCTTGATCTAATGCAAAGCTTACATTAAGAAACAACCGAAATGAGATGCCAAATCTTCCGTGTATAAACTATTGAAGTTTTAAAGATCCACTTGAAAAAACTGAAATTCCCCCTCAAGCTGTTTGTTTCTTACGTTGTGCAACTAGCTGTCGTGAACACCACTAGTCTTCTAAGGTGCATGCGTAGAGAGTCTCTCTCCAGAGTGCTCTCGTTAAAGCCTCATTGATACCCAAGCGGTCAACGCACCATTCCAACCAATAATGGGCTTTTAAATTTCATACCTATGCGCCTGATTGGCCAAAGGCGAGGAATCTCGACTAGCAACTCGATAGTCGTGGGTTCGAATCTCAAGTGTGGTAGAGTTTTTAATAAAACTCTTAGATGCTGGTGCTTTTAAGAATTTAATTTTAGAATTTATTTCTCTGGCGAAATTATTAATAATAAGAATAAATTTCATAACTACTAAGGACTAACTGCTTGCTCTATGTTCAACCTACTCATAATGCATGAGCTCTCGCTCTTTTTTTTTTCTTTTTATTCTTGAAATTTCAACAGAGGCCCGAAGTTGGTCGTATTAAAGTCAATAACTGATTCCAGTTTGAGGTCGTATCTTAAAATTTCACTTAAAAATATCTTTTATTAAAAAAGTGTGAAAAAATACTTTGCCTCTGACGTTCTACAGATTGTGTAGTATGTCGTGATTGAAACTCTTGCACATACATCATCTTAACAGAACAGATAGTAGAGATCGAGAGATCCCCGGAAAAAAGTTTCATAGTCTTTGTCCCGGCTAGAATTATTAGCTCTTCAGCGAGTAGGCTTAATAAGGAAAAAGTTGAAAAAAAATGTTGTGAAACAACATGTGAACTCCCAACAAATTCCTATTAATCTCTGCTCATGGAAAGCAAATATTTTCCCTTATCTGAAGTTGCTGTTGCCTGTTATCTATAGAATTCTTTATGAACAACTGAATGTCTTTTCCCATCTAGTTTCCTTTTTCACGCCATCAACGAGATATCGTTTTAAGTAAACCTAACGAGAAAAAATATTTAAATTCAAATAAGACAACCAAATGTGTAGAAAAAGATTTCAAAACCACTTATCTCGAGAAAAGAAAAACAATATAACATCTCTGCCAACAAGAGGTAAACATCAGGCGGATGTTGAGGCAAAGTAAATATTGGGAAAAACTATGGAAAATAATAAAAAAAATAGTGAGAGTAAAGCTTTATTCTTAAGCTAAGAGCTAAGAGCTAACGATGCAGCTGAACAGTAACCAGTATCTTAAGCATTGACACAGTTTGTTCTGTGACACGTTTATGGCAGCATTTGTTTACCAATACACTTTAATACAAATGGTAACGCATGCAAATGCAGATTACTTTTGTTGTTGTTCTCTAAAATAAATATAAATACTTGAGCGTTACAATAAAAACTTTATTACCCAGATATAGTGATTATCGCTCGCTTGTGGGCACATTATTTGTTACCCTCTCCAGAAAACTAGTAAAGTAACTAACTATACGTTACAGTAAATGTCGAAGTGTGCGTTTCTGTCTTCTCTCTCTTTCTAAACCAATAATGATCATAATAATCACACTTAACATTGTTTCTTTTGTTTTTAGGATGTAATACAACGCCTTTTTTCCTTTCAGTTCTGTTCTGTAGAAAACTATTATTGAAGATCGTACGCATTGAAATTCGATCCGCTGATGTTTTTTTTTATTTTCCTTTCTTTTTTTCTTTTAAATTAAATTCGACAACCCATGAAATCATATCATCAAAGATCGCAAACGTACACCGAGTCGCACATTCCAGCTTTGAAATTAATATTCTGTACCCAACTACATCACGCACACACACAAATAGACGCGTGGTGTTATTAAAATCCTAATTCGTTTGGATTCTTTGATGCTTATCTACCCCGCTATCTTTTTGTCTCTGCTTTAATCCTCCATTCTCAGCAGTCACCACACGTTCCCCATCTTCACTTCATTATATGATCATTTACATTAAGTATTACGGTGTGTTTCGCTCGAATACACAAAACTCGAAAACACAAGAAGAAAAGGAAAAAAGAATTTTTGCGGAAGACGACCTTCGTCGTTATTTCTATGCCGGCGCGTATTTGGGTTATTCTAAAGAATTTTTTGGTTTACTGCTTAGCTTGCAGTATGCATGGAGCTTTTTGTATGAGTTTCGTTTGAAAAGGGTTTCGCAAAGGTGACTAGCAAACTAGAAGTGGATACGGAGCAATTAATCTCCTTGACAAATGCCATTGAATTTCATTAGACGGAACGCAGAATGCAAACAAAGAACGAATACAAAATTTGCAAATTCGATTCTCGTGCAAATTTAACAACAATTGGAAATACTTAACAATGTTGTTCAAAATGGTTTCATTGTTTCAAAAATTTGTCGTTATTTGTACCGCAGCATTTGAGTACTGTCATGCCTTCCTCTCCTTCCCGCTTACGCTTCCCTACTCTTACTGTCTTTGTTAATTTGATTGCCGTTTGCCGGCAGAAGTTGAAACGCGCAAAAAGAGTGGACTTATAAAATATAATGTAAGACAGCTTGACGACAACTATGCTAAATCTTATTGAAAAGTACAAGAACGCTATTTGAAAGGAACTGCTGATTACATTCTGTTATATAATAAGTAAAGAGGCTGTTTTCTTAAAGGAAATTCGAAAGGACAAATTTATACGAGCACGGCCGATTTTTCCCTATTTTGCAGACTCGTGAAAATTTTTCGAATTATATCTGAAAGTGTGTACGAGCTAATAAAACTACATTTTGTTTCTACTTTTCAAAACAGAAATGCTGTCAGCTGTACGCTGGTTCTTCCACCAATTTGCCCAATAACTATATTGGTATTGGCAAGAACTTCCAATGATTTAAAGCTCATTTTATCATATTTTTGACAGAGAGACAGTTTGACACAAATATTTGGACGGACAGACATGTTTTGAAAATACGCCCAAAATAAAGTAAGGTCTTCTATTTGGTATCCATATCGCTGGTATTATTAAGAAAAAGTTAATCCACCAGGTTGCGGGGTCACACAGACATGACTAAATCAACTCAGGATTTGACGCTGGTCAAGAATATATATACTTCATGGGGTCTCCGAAGCTTCGTTTTGGGTGCTACAGACATTATGTAAAGTAACAGAATGGGGATACCCTCTTCTCGTAGACACATGTGCTTAATTTTCTTATAACATTCTTATTGGTTTTTATTGAGTTTGGCGATTGTACACGTCTGAATGTGTCACAAAAGATCTCTCTGAAAATAATTTTGAAAAAAAATTTATTAAATCTTTTATATGAATGAAGTTTAAGAGCAGTCAAAACCTTAGCGATTTTGCCAAATATCTATTATCAGATCGAAACAGAATTTCATTATAATGGTCATGGGTGTTAGCAAACACCCAATACAATATGTATCATTTTTTTTTAAGAATAGAGTTCACTCATTCGCAACTCTTATTAGATTATTGCTTTATGTTTCTTACTGTTATATATCGTTAATGGGAACCACAAAACTGGCTTATTTATAAATAAGAAAATCAATCATAAAAGAAAAAACTATAAAAAGCCAAGATTTACTTTGGCCTGACTACGTAAAATACCAAAGCATATTATCAGAAATTTTGTTTTGATTACGATATTCGCAAACAGAAAACGAAAAATAAGAAAATAAAAACCGCTTTTACCACACAACTTAGCAAGTTGCAATCGAACTTATCAGAATTGAAAAACTACTCAAACCTGAAATGAGTTCCATTTGAATTGGCATCCATCGAGTGCGTACGAAATTTGTATGTAAAGAAGTTTCACTCAATTTTGTGGGGACAAACATGAACATGTTCAAGCAGCCAACAAACCATATGTTCAAAGCCAATAATGATCACGTTAGTCGGCAAACGAATCTCAGTGAGCAAACTTCTTTCGTCGCGTGGTGTATGCACGGCGTATGTAATTTATAAAGAGGGAGAAAGCAAATATCACTGCGAGAGTAAACAGTAAACAACAGCTGAACGTGTATGCGAAGCAAACAACAAACACATACTTACATTCGCGTCATATATAAAATATGAACAGGAAAAAGTAAATAATGAATTGAGGGAAATAAACAATGTTTTAAATGAAATTCATATCCAAAAGCAATAAAATGTGTAAAAACAAATAAATGAAACTAAAAATAATATGGATATGTAAACGAAATATTCAATAAGAAGGGAAAATGTATTAATAATTCCGGGTAAACATACGGAACAAACAAAGAACGAAAAAGAATAAAAGAAACGAAACATGTCACAGAAGATTAACGAATTCGAATGCTACAACAACTCTTCACATTGTGTTAATTGAAATTCAAGGTTTTTTTTTCTGTTTTTTTCGTTGCAAATAGTGCGTAACTAACTAATAATGGGTGAGAAAAAGGCAACAGAAAATCTAAAGCATATGAAGAGAACGAAGGGGAAAATAAGAGAGAGAGTCTGCTAACGAGATCAATAAGAATCGTAACGGTATGGCAAATGAATAAGCTGAGCGCTAATCTCTTGTTGTTGCTATATTTGTTTTGAATAATAAAGCGATAAAATTGGTTGAATAAGTTTTACGAGCAATAAAGAATATTTATACATAATTAATTCTGCGAAAATACAAAGTGTTGTGAATTTCGTTTTGAAAAAAAGAAAATCGTCTTTATAATACCTAACAAAAACGAAATAAATAAATGATTTAGTAAACTTCTACATAACAACTATTAAAAGGTTTTTTTTTAATTCTAGAATATATGGATATGGTTGCTGAGAAATAAAGAATTTGTGTATGTTATTGGAGAAGTGAACATATTTTGAAAAGATTATAAAAAAACCACACCTCCCGTGCAGCTTTCATTGAATGACATTCATTGACATTTCTAATAAATGGAGATTTCATTCTTTTTTTTGCATTTTTCCGTTTAATAAAACTATCCACGCACACAAACTTTTGTAATTTTAGATTTGCCTCAGCAGAGCATTCGTATCAATCACGTCATGTTTTTGTATTGGAAAGCAAATAAAGAAGTTTGCCAGGAAAATGCCGGCACCAGCTGAAAATCTTACACATAAGTAGGCATAGTACTTAGTTATTCTGTTTGTAACGCTTGCGAGGTATATAACAAAATAAATTGACATGAATTTCTGGACCCATTAGACTTTAAGCACACTATCCGATTATCCATCCAAAACTGACCATTCTCGTGAGGAATATTTTATATATATAGTTGATAAACAAGGAAAGTTACATTATATACGAATTTTTTTTCTTGCCATCTTATGAAATTGAAATGTAAAAATAGAAGGGTTTTTTTTTAAACTTTCTTGAGAAATTTAAATTGTTACTGTCCGATTTTTTGATTTACATTTTGATATTTAATTATTCGAAAGTTTCAATTGTAATAAATTTCTGCCGCCATGAATAAATATGAACATAAAGTATGAAAGAACGAAAGACGGCTCGTTTATAGAGCTTTATATATTATTTTCTGAACTTTAATATCGATTTAGATACAGCTTTGGACTGCTCCACGCTTTTAAAAGGTTGAAAGTGTAAGCGAGTGACTTAAATTGAGTTTTCATGTCAAAATTTCATTTTCAATTATTGTTTTTCTAATCTTTTATATTAACATCGATCGACTAGAGCTAACAATTCCGGCAATAATAAAGAACATTTTCTCTCAGCGACGGGCTAATCATGCAATAAAATTACATGCCTTCTCATGTCCATATGCTAAGTTATTATTATCTTATGTTTTATTTTCTTTCTTTTTTCCCCAACAAAAGACATGAGTTGATTAAATATTTATATAATTATCTCTTCATTCTTCTATATAATACCATTATCGCACTTCGGCTTTCGTTTTTTGTCCTTACTTTTCCGTTGGAACCCTCTCTACTCAATATATCTTAAAAGCAATATGTACTAACTCGCAACAACAACAGCAACGACTAGTCGTCTTCTTTTCAAATGTATAACATTCCAGTTTATGTTGTTTTTCCTTTTTCCTTACCTACCTACAATGCTTTTGTTTTCTCTATTTTCCCTCTGCATACGTATAAAATTTCTATAAATGTCACCACCACAACTATCTCGGTGTGTTTGTATATCTCTACTTAAATATGCAGTCATATGTTTGTACGTGTGTGTACATTTGTTTAGATGAAACAGTTGAATAGACAGCTCTAGCAGACTATTACTGATAACTCTCGATAACCTATTTCAAAACCTTATGTGGAGTGCGTTTACAGTTATTATTAGTTGTGCATTCTTTCTCCAACTCATCGCATACAAGCGAACTTCAAAAGTTATAACCTCTCTTACGATTCTCTTCATTTCTTCTATTAGGTGGGTTTATGTGTTCTATGTATTTCTCTTTATTAGAGACGAGTAAAGCATATCGAAATCTTTTTTTTTCTTTCTTTCCTCAACAATTCATTGAATAATAATTGTGTCTTTTCATTTTCTTTTCCTTTAATTGAAAACTTTTGCACATATTTGCTTGCTTCTACTACCGCTTATATTTTGATGATTAGATGAATGTTTTTTTGTTTTTCTTTTCGGCTATCGGTAGACTTTGTTTTTGTATGTCTTTCTCACTTTCTTCTTCGGTGCCTGCGGTTTATTTATAATCTGTTTCGTTTCCCTTTCTTTGGTGTGAATAGTGTCTTCTTCTGCCATTATCGATGATTCTTTATCATTCATAGAATGAACTAACATTTAGGAAGAAAGCCTATACGGCAACAGTTCATTCGTTTTCAGTCCCAATCAAAGAAGAAGAGAAAACCAGTTGCAACTGCTATGCCTGAGTGCGTTTTCTTTTCTAACAAATACAAAGAAAATAAGCCGTTTGCCTATCAACATGGACGGACACTTTGTGCACAACAAAGTTAACAATTCTTTCATGTACTTCCTTCAAGATTTCATCAGTGCACCCTGACTGCATCTGTAGAGCTACCACTACATTTTCCCGTTTTATTAACTCAAATTCAAGACTTTACACACTTTTCAGAGACAATATTCAATAAATTGCTAGACTTTATGCCAATTATTATATATGAAGAAAGGAATTTCCATTTAGCACATATAGCACATATTTAACTTTGCTGGCGAAAATTTTATACGCAGTCATAATCGTTAAACCATCAAGAACCTATTACGGAATGTCTTTGAAGAGAAAACTTTTTTTTTTGCATATTGACCGGCATTGTTAACAAAGAGATTTATGGCACAATATAGCGTAAAAAATTAAATAATTCGATCGTTAATTCATTATGTGATGCGCACCGAAAGAAAAAATCATCGCAAGAAAATTAGGTATTTATGTTTTCCTTTCACAATAATTTTCAAACATACTCAACCCGTAATTAGCTGAGTCATTGAATTGTAAAAGCTTTATGTTTTCCGTTTCCTAACGGTTCGTTAAACAGTTAACATTTTCTTATCGAATTGCAAATACCTTCAGCTCTTCAAAATATTTGTTTATAGGCATTTTCTGCTCTTTAACAGCTGTTAAGGGAATAGCATATGTTCGCATTATTGATTGATGTATATATTTGGCTTACAACCTTAAGTTTAAAAAAATCGTGAATTGTTATTTAATATGAATTTTTGTTTTTTAAGAAGTATATTTTTCGATCCATAACCCATAAGTTCAATTTTCATTATGAGAAAACTGAATATGTTATACAGTGTGTAGACTTTATTGAGCTACTGTACAGGTTCGCCTTAATTCCTTAACGCTAACCTATCGTTTATGCCTCTCAGCGAGAAGGAGAAAATGAAAATTGATTAGGGTTGCGGACAATAGCCAAAGGTGGAGGAAGGTCATTGCAGATACAAAGCGAAAAATGAAAATACAGCGACCGCTTAAAAAAAAAGCAAGAGACGACTAAAGTAAAGTTTGAGTCTTACGATGGCTCCTTGCTCAGGTGTCGAAATTGCAGATATGTCCTGCAATCCTTCTTGCGCTAATGGTATATCTTCTCCCAAATGAATTAAAATATCCGATGCTTTCTAGTTATTGGGAATAATTTAACCTAAAACGGGAAAAGTTGATATTCACTTTATTAAACCGGTAAAAGTCTTAGTTCCCAGTTCCTGTTCCAATTTGGTGTCAGGATTTAGTTCTTTGGTTGAATAACATTTTACAAATACGCGACAATAAATAGCTGGGCGTAAAGCAAGAGCAGTCATCATTAGAAATGTTATCCAACATTTTGCGGGCTTGTCTCTCGCTGGAACCTGCAAGAGCTTTACTTGCATTAACGTTGGAAACAGTTTAGAAAATGGTTGCAAATGCTTGAACAAGACGGACATAGCTTCGCTTCGATAGCTGGCATTTTTTTATTGCAAAACACTTTTGTATTTTAAGGCACAAGGAAAATTATATCGAAAATATGATAGACACTTGAAAACCATGCGAGCATTAAAAGACTAAAGTAACAACAATAATACTTTCTTACAATCAAAAATAAAAGGCATTTTTATATTTCAAGTGGTCCTTCAAAAACACAAAGGGAGAGCAACTATGCCTTTGCTCGAAGAAAATGGAAACAGAATAATGTAATTTAAGGCTATTTCAAGTCTTGGACCGACTCACTGGTAATTAGGCACAGATTTTCAGTTTATATATATTGAGCATCTTAACAATTGGAAAGTCTTATCGTTAGAGAAAGCGAATAATTTTATACGAGCATAAGAAAAGCACAAACTTTCCACGCGGTAGTCGAAACATAAACAAAGCCTGCGCCAGGGATGACCCCTGGATAAGCGATCGGCCGCTAAAGTGTTAAGTTGACCTTTTCATACTTCCTAGACGTCTACTGCACATGTGAGCTGTTAACACAAGTGTTGCATTTTTCGCAAGCTTTAGGGGAATGGTAAGATGTCGAAAGGAAAAGTGAGCAAATGACGCAATGATCTCAAAAGATTCGCTGAACTATGCTTGGGAATTTAGAAAATTGAGACATTTTTAGTTTAAAGTGCGCTTCTCTGCCTTAAGGCTTCACCCAATTTTTTTCTTAACCCCTATGTTGTGAATTGTTAGCTGGGTTCAGTTTGTTTGAAAACTGTGTGTCTCTCGAATTTGAAACACTTGAGTCCTTATGTAAAACATCGGCTAAGTTTATATAGATAACCGGAACTGAATCAATCGTTTAGAGGCAGGGAACGAAAAGAATCAAATTCTGCCTTTTCTTTGCGATAAGTTATTTCATTGCTCTTCAACGATCTTTGAAGACAACCAACAGAGCGATTTGTGGCATTTTCAATAAAATTTGATGATCTAGTGCACTCACTACGTGTTTCTGATCGCCTTCCTTTACTAATGACGTAGATAGCAGCAATGAGAGGAGTATTTTCACTTCTCCTATGCTGAAATTCAGCGGGTACCATATGTTGCTCACCTCTGAAACAGTTCTTAAAAAAAATGTTTTAAAAATTCATTCCTTTTTTGAAAGAAACTTTTTCCCATCCAAGGTCAAAAGATGTCATAAAACAACGAACCCAAACAGCTTCATGGAAATCGCTTAACTGAACTTAAAAAATATATTCTGTTTTCTCTCGCTACGCCTTGCGAAGAGCATGCCGTGTGTTTGATTTGCCCCCCAAGAAGCGTTAGTCTGGGAAATTATAGAAATTTTCCTTCATAATATTAAACACATGTTAAGTAAATGGTTACAAGCGAACGCAAGAGAAAAATAATTGAAAACTAAAAAGATGACTTAGAACGCGGAGTAACATACACAGAAACGATTAAGCTGAAAGAGGAAAGGAAACATGACAGAAAGCATAACAAAAAACAACATGATATCATCAGCAATAGTTTTACAAATGTGTGCACAAATGATTTGTAATATGTGTCTTATGGCACATTCAGCACTCGCAGATACACATACATACGCACTTGTACGAACAAGTGTACCGTTCAAATGCAAAAAAGGAGGAACAAATGTTTTAATTAAGAAAAGTCGTCGATGACTTTTTCTATACACAGTTTTCTGCTGCCATCACTTAATTTTCTTATTCCGCTTGCATTATATGCATGAAAGAAATATGCGATAATGGGCCACGCCTGCTCTGGCTTCTTTTAAATTGGTACGAAATTGCTAAGTTATTCGTAATCATCGCCGATAATACTGACCGAGAGTTTATCTTGCAAGCAATCTCCGAACTAGAATAAGACAGAAAACGAAAACCGCGTTCACTCTCAACAGCTGAAAGATGACATGCTCTAAGGCAGCTTCGTATTACGGTAAGGAGGTTCCTATTGTTCGGATTAAACATTCCTTCGCCATATGATAGTCGTAATCGCTCAACAGTTAGTTATTGAAAGCTTATTGCAGACGCAGAGAACGAAACAATTCTGAGGGCGTACCTCTTATTGCGCCGCCAACAAGATGTTCATATGTCGCATGTGACCTGACTTGGACTACAACTTCTCTCTTCATTCCAAGTTTCTGATATCTACAGAACAACAGAAAAAAAAAACCAACCAGGTCCTAATGTGGCGTGTTCTGCATTTGCCCTCAACTGAGCTCAGATCTTCCACTGGCTTGTCTCATATTTCTGGTAATGAGATATAATAGAAGGCTTGAACTAAAATGAATACATAACATTTTCGCAAATATTTGTAGTAAAAAACTAACACATGTTCGCTGATGAAATAAATTGAGCTAAGCATTTATTAAATTTTGGATAAAACGGCTAAATGCCGTTATCAGGTTTTTCACTTTACATCGTTTATTAAAAAAAATAAGAGAGCGGTGCTTTCAATAAATGCAAATGCAAACCTCCCCGACCATGAAAAATATCCCAGACCAAAAATTTGAAGAAGGCTTCATAGCTGCATTACCCGGTATTGCTTATCTATGCTCGATATCTCGACTGTGAATGAAATTTTTCATTCAATTAAATGTCAACATAATAAAAACAAATACTTGCAAGTACATGTATTGTTATCATCAGGTTGTAGAGAAGCAAACACTTTCTCGTTTCCTATAATTTAATAGAATAGAAATGAAATCACATCAGCTCTGACTCTTTCCAAGAATTATTAAAACAAATGCCGCTGAAGTTCACATTCACTAGTGGAGGAATAGTAACTTTATTGTAGAGCCCATATTAGGTGGTCCGCAAACGTCTTGGGCATTCTAATATTTGTTAATTGAATTATTCTCTTTGCGCGTTTTTTGTTTTCGTAAAAAAAGCGTCCAGGATTTGCTATCGTTAGGCTTAAATATAAATTAGATTAATTTTTAGTATTAATAATAAATGCAAATAATAAAAACAAACTAAATTTATAAAATTAAATAAAATTTCATTATTATTAAATTTTTTTTTTTTTTTATAATTACTAAACAACTAAATATGAATTTAATTAATAATTTTTCTTCTCCTTTTAAATATTTATTTATATTACTTCTTATCTTTTTAGACGCATGTCGAAGTGTTTTAAAAGCAACATTAGAAGTAACCAAAAATGTTTACCGAAGTTTCGAAGGAAGAAAAAAATGCACCATAAACTTTTTCGGGCAAAGTAATTAACTTTATTGAAAGCAACCCGTTTTAGTAAACTGTAAAATTAAGCTTTTGCTCATAGGTGATCCATCGATAACGTCCTTTGTTGACGTACTAGAAAGGAAAACATTATCCCAAGTGGTAAGTTAAAGTTTTTTTTATATGGAAAGAACTTCTTAAGTAAATAAAATTAATTCACTTTCTGTAGATATAAAAGTATTTATTGGAATTACCGTTTTTAGATATTCAGTTAAAAAATCAGTTAGATCACTGCAGTGGTCCAAGCGCCTACATCACCTTACAATTATCAATATATCGAACTTTTAGAATAAGGCGAAAAAAGTGGTCTCATCCGATTCCATCTTCAATAGCCTGTGCGTTCTTGGGCCAAAACATGTTAGCGTGTCAGAATTACACAAAAATTTCGATCCATAAAATTACGCGGACACACAGACGAACAAGCTTAGATCGATGTAAAGATGAGTCTGCCTAAGCCTTTCTGGGTGTTAGTGCGTCTACACAAACTTAACATACCGTGTGCCACAAATGCTATGGTCTGTAGAAATACGGCTTGACTTCCCTGTTATGCTGCTCAGACTACGGCTAAAAGAATCGTTTCAGGAATACACATTTAAAATGGGAAAATTATAAATTGATATTGGCCAGTAATGCTTTTCCTGCGAAACTGACCTCCCCCTCACCAAAATAAATAATTTCTTGCAATGAAAGTAGCTGCTGGCTAAGCTAGGAATATTTTGATTTTAGAGGCACAATCATTCAGCTAGTATCTTGCAGAACTATTCATCTAATATTATCGAATAAATTATAAGTGAATACAGCTTTGTCTTTGAAAAAACCCCATTTTTAGGTTTTAATAATAGACATGTTCTCAGTTTACGCAGGCCTGCAAAAGGAAAGGCCTGTCCTTCAATCCATGGATCATTTTCAACATCAACCTGCAAGCCTGCAAGCCAGTGTCAGTGTTTCTACAATATTTTAAACTTTTGCGACCGAAAAAATGTGTATTATAGATAAGTGGACGGACAGGCATCCCTAGATTAATTCACACTTTGATACCAATTAAGAATCCACGTACTTTATAGTATCTATGAAGTTTCTTGTTGGTTATTTGCAAACGTTTTGACGAAATAAACGCACCCTCAGTTAGCGATAATAATATGAATGACGAAAATTCTTGAAAGAAGATTTTACAAAGCAATAAAACGATAATCGAGAGGCGGGAAATATTGTTTTGAAAAATTGTATAATTAAATTGAATTATTTAAACATTTAATTTTGCTGAATGAACTGTGGGCGGATGGATATCTAATTATGGTTGTCTTCTTTTTCTTCGCATCAAAATATTATTAAGTGAAGAAGAAGAAGCTGATAGGAGTGATGATGATGATGATGATGATGACGATAATAGTCATGAGATAAAGAAAATAGTATAATTAATTTAGGAATGTATTTGTACACGTATATGTGCGAATATATGTGCAGTGGGAGTTAATGTAACTATTTTAGTTATTACTTTATACCGTTACCTTAAAACATTTTATCATCTTTCTTTATAACAACAACTAACAATTACTCATCCCAAGCATAGTTCATGTGTGTGTTGTAGACTCTCATATGTATCGTGTAATTAAATGCAATTGAAATGAGTTACAGGAAATCAAAAATGACTCCATAATCAGTTACGGCAGGTTTTTTTCTCCTTTTTTTTTTTTGTTAATTCTTTTGTGCCAACAAATGAATGATTTTCCGGTGCATACCATAAACAAAAACAAGTGCTTGGTGGTTGGTTGCTGGTTAAAGCAGTAAAAGCGTAGTTATAGTTTAAAGACCAATATTATATCTGACAAACACTGCTGGTGAGCAAATGACGGTCATTATAATTTGTTACAAATTTTTTATTGTTGTTGTTGTTATTGCTGTTGGTATTATCGCTGTTGTTGGCATTGTTGCTACTGTTACTACCATAAACCAATCCTATCATCGACTTGGAAAAAAGGCAAATTTTCGTTTGGTAAATCCCTTAACATTTTCAATGCACTGCGCTCTATGCGCATAGGAGCTTATTAATAAAACCGTATGTAAACAAATCAAACAACGGCAACAATTACAATGATAGTAGAAATTTCTTTTCTATATAAGCATATATTTATTTGTATTTAATATGCAAATTGTGTTCGATGGAAATATTTATGTGTAGGCTGAACACGTACAAGGTCTTCATTTATGGCAGCAAGCAAGGAAGCAAGCGGCTATTGTCGTGTCTTCTGTACCTGCTACGATGGCCACTACAGGCGACAACGCAACCAGCTTTCGTTGTATGTATTACTCCTAGTAATGACTAATCACGATAACGCTTAATACTGTTTTCTCTTAGTGTATACAGGGCAAAATTCTGTCTGGCTGCCTTCTTATATATATATATATATATATGTATGTCTGTCTGCACACATAAATATGCTGCCTTGATTTACATTGCGCGCAGCATATTTATTTAATTGATTTTTAGTTTTGTTTTTACACCCTACACCGTTTGCGGTACAAGGCTATATTAAGTTTGCGCAGACATATGTAACAGCCAGAATAGAACCAGAATTATTTCCGAAATGTACGTCCGTCCTTGTCTTTTGTATTCAATCCGCATCTCGCAATTTTTAGAAATGTTTTACCCAGGGACGAATACTGTCGATAATGGTCTGGATCGGTGCACGTTTCCGACCACTCCCTTTGTTTTGAAATGATTTTATATGAAAAAAAAGTACGATTTTTAAGCTTTCTCAACAAGAGTCGCTACGCATGAGGATGTCGACATTTTAGATTTGGTTCTACAGCAGTGCTTTGAACCCTCTCTCATATTACAGTTTCTACGAAAATTTGTTTTTAGAGGGGTAAAAAGGTCGACTATTCAATACTTCATGATGAAAATTGTATCATAATAGTTAATCAACAGAGAAATCAACTTCATTGAATTTGGACCACGTAGGTCTATTTTTCGGATAACAACGGAAAATACAGTTTGCAGGAAACGTAAACACGTATAATTTTTAATGTTTTATGTTGATAATAGTAATTTGACGAAAACAATGCGTGGACGAAATTTATCACGAAATTTTATATCTTGGATCCCTCTACGTAAAACATGTCGCGTGAATAGTAAGTCCTTCAGAAAAAGTTTTAATTTTTAATATTTTATGAAGAAAGTTGGACCTTGGTAGAGATTTATTAAAAAAAGGTAACCGGTAGAGGATTTGGATCACGTAGGTCTCTTTTTTAGGTTCTAACATATGCAGGGATTATCATGAAAGGCAAGCTTTATGTTGAGAGAAAGTATAACCTCTAGTTTTCTATGACGGAAACTAACAAATAATAAAATATTTAGGAAGTAAATTAAGTTTGCTAACGGCGGGCTACGTCATGTGATGCTTTGAGCATTCTCCAATGTTCCGACATTCATGAATAGCAGGCCTTTGGATGAAAATAAAATGCCATGTTTGGTGCATTATTAGCAAACTGTGTATACAATTGTTTTACCCGAAGTTCCTACCCGTTATTGTATCGTTTAAGAAGGCATAATAACAACAACATTACAATAAAAGAAGTAACAACAAACAGGGGAAATGACTTTAATACATTTGGTGTGGTTCAGGCGATTTTCTGCTTCTTTGCCGTCGCTCTCTCTTTCCATCACCTTCTTTCCCTCCTTTTTTTTTTGACTATTCGCCATTGATATTAGTTATGTTACATCTGCGATTGTATTAAGAATTAGAAGGAAATGCATACACACATACAAAACTTAAAAAAAAATTTGCTTAATTATAATGATAAAAGAAAACAAGTGAAGGCATTGTCGTAGACCACGGCCATCGTTCAAATGCCTTGGCTCCTCTTCTCTTAATGGAGTCATTCGATTTTTCAACATAAGCGTTGTATGGGAAGTTGTCGAAAAAGTAGTCCGATCCGAACGATTGTGACCAGGGTTTGTCCTTGAAACCAAACACGTAGGTGCTTCATAATTTATCAAAATATCTCAAAAATTGCGACCTGTAGTTCAAATGAAAGGATGCGGAGCATCTGCAAAAAAATGTATTCAAGTACTGAAAATGTGTGTCTACACCCACAACACTACGTGCATATCATAATTAATCTTCGTACTTGCATAGGAAATAGTATTGTTTTGATATTTTGATATATTATTCTAAAAACATTCCTAGCAAGTACCTAGATACATATAACCATTCGCATATGATTGTATGGGTGCAGTAGTTTTCCTTCTAACTGAATTCATTGAAGAGTTAATGTTTTATCTTTTGAATATTTGTGATTTTTTTTACCCTTTCATATTGAAGAGATTTAATGGGGACGAAATATTTTATGCGTTTAAAAAACTCGAATTCAACACTTAAAACCACTCGAGGCTATCACCATTTAAAACTTTAAGATCCTCTTTTTCGATACTACGTTTTTCATGCTGGCCAAGCCATTTGCTTACCTGGATTCTTAGTCGATTAATTTCAAAAATTAAACCGTAGTTTCATTTATTCATTCTCTAATTGAAAATTCTTCGGTTTTTTTCAATAGATTTTATTATATATAATTTTATTATATATATTTTATTAAATATAATCTTGGACAGCTTTTTTCGCAAAACTGAAAAAATTTGTAATAAACGTCTACGTCTCTCGCTGAAGCGTGTATTGTGCAAGTTAATACGAAATTTGAAGTCAACCATTTTAGAAGTTTCGATAAGTTAATGGTACGCTTAAGAAGAGCTCTTCATCCGCCATTTTCCTTCTATATAATTACTATATATAGTTGTCTAAAGCATTTAAATAAAAAAGAGTTTGTTTTCAAAAATTGTTGGGGCAGCACATGTCCTATGCGGTCGCGCGCTTAAGCGAAATGAAAATTCATGCAGCATTTCTTCGAAATCATGTAGACGAGTCGTGCTAAGAGGAACGCTAAAAATTTACGGAGATAAATAAGAACTTTTGTTGCACTTTATTTCAAGAGAAGTAAAGCTGGAAGGTACTAACGCCACTGTAGAGGAAAAATAGAAGGAAACCTGCCAGCGGTTCAAACCATAGCTTGACCGTAAGTGTCTTAGCAGAAGGAGAAAGTACTGT